ATGAACAACCATGAACTGTGAAAGAACTGTATGAACAACCGTGGTTCGTGAAAGAACTGTATGAACAACCATGAACTGTGAGAGAACAGCATGAACAACTATAGTCTGTGAGAGAACTGTAAGAACAGCTACCATGGCCCGTGAGAGAACTGTATGAACAACATTAGCCCGTGAGAGAACTGTATGAACAATTATAGCCTGCGAGACAACTGTAAGAAAAACGATAAACTGTTGCTGAGTTAACTGAGTGAGAACAACTACAGTATGTTTAGGAGCAAACTACTGTCTTAGTTTTGCTATAACAACACCGACAGATAGCGATTGAATAAACAGGCATTCTCATTAAATAAACAGACTTTATATTACACAAGGAAAATCGCAGCAGTGGGACTGCCACTAATTATGAATTAGTTATTCATAACATAACATAATTATAACATAACACAATTAAAACGGATTGCCCATACCCTGTAAAATAAAATGCGGTCCGCCGCCAGATCTACTGGCTAAAAAAAACCTATGGTGAGAGGGAGGCAATATTTTCGGGACGCGATATTGAACAATTTTTGTCCGGGAACCGAGAAATACCAAGAAAAGTTTCAGTGATTCGGGAATTTGGGAAATCAACTTGGATGCGGGAAACCCGAAATTCCAATTTCGATTAACTGGGCACTCAAAAATGGCTCACTTTTTGACTGGGGGGGAGTGGAAATGTACCACCCATCCCCACTCAATTGCTCTGGCTATGGTAGAAGGTATATTTACGGGGTACGTAGCTATCCCAAATATGCCTGGTGGGGCAAAGCCAAGTGCGGGCTGTATTCTGGGCAGGTGACCGTGGACAATTCGTCATTGAGCACGTAACAATATGTAACAATATTTACATTTCTGTGCGGGACAACTGAACTTCAACCCTTTTTGATATTGATTTTGAAATTTTGATATTGTTACGTCGTCAATGGCGTCGACACCATGTCTGAGCAGAGGTAGGTCGAAGCGGCGGCGGCGCAGGCAGCGGCGGCGGGTGTAACAATATTTACATTTCTGTGCGGGACAACTGCATGAACTCCAACCCGCCGCTAGCTAAGGTCCTGATTCCACCCCCGATTACACCCC